ATATATATATATATATATATATATATATATATATATATATATAAATTAGCTCTTATTTATATAATTGTAATTGATATAAGTTTATAAGAGTTAGCTTTTATTTGTAAAAATCTAAAAATTTGTGATTTTAGAGAGTATATATATACTTTATAAAATCATAAATTTTTAGATCTTTACAAATAAGAGCTAATTAAAAAAACTATTTAATTTCTTATTTTTTCTATAAAATTCTTTGAGCTTTTGTAAGAGTTATAAGAAATGTTTTTCATAAATATTGAAGAATTTTATAAGCAATTTTATAAGCAATCTTAACATATAGGTTTTTTCCACATTTTATTAATTCCCATTATTTTTAATAATTCCTACTACTTTATTATGATCAAAGATATTTTTACAGAAACAGATGATTTTGTTAAAATAAACAAAGAAATATATAATAGAGAAAACATATTGTTACTAACCTGATTTTAAATCCATAATTTTTTAAAAATATACTCTTTTATTGTTATCTATAATATCATGATATCTAATGAATCTCCTGTATTATTTAAATTTTGTATCGCAAATTTATCACGGATAAAATTGCCGAATAATGTTAATTAATCTTGATTAATTGTTGCAGCTTTTGTTTCAATTGCATTCAATAAAGCAGCTGTGATATGCATTTCTTTTTGTATGTTTTTAAATTTTAGGTTAATATTATGAGTAGCTTTTTGAATAGCTTGCAGATTCTGTAACAGATTAAAAGATGATACTAGTACAACATGTAATACACGCAAATGCACATATTTATAAGTTTGTATAACTCCATTTAATTTAACCTAACCATTCTTATGGTGGTGTAAAGTGCCAATTCTTGTTCCTCTGTATACTTAACAGAAGCTTCATTAAAAGAATATAGAGACGAAGAAATTGACGAATTGGCCATAATGAAAAAATATATTGAATAACATATAATTACTTCGATTAATTACACATTATAATCAATGAAATTATATATAACAGCACATATGTAATTTCAAACGACCGATTTTCTGTCTGTTGGTTGGAGGCTTGCGTTTTTGGCCCTTTTAAGCCCGTATCAGACTACCGACTGCACAGGCCGACCTGACTACGACTGCCGACTCTCAATGGACCAATCACAGTCGGCCTGTGCAGTCGGTAGTCTAATATGGACTTTAAAGGCCAAATTACACTAAAGGCCGTATCAGACTATAGATTAGGATTGAGATTGAATTGAAAATTGGCCAATCAGAGCAAAGTTCATCAAACTTGAGCTTAGTGAATTTTGCTCTGATTGACTAAATTTCAATTCAATCTCAATTCAAATCTATAGTCTGATACGGGCTTAACGATTGACAATAGATGATTGACGATTGAAGATTGGAACTTGACCAATTGGAACAAAGCAAGCCAAGGCTAAAGCTTGTTGATTTGTTAAAGTCTAATCTTTAATTGTCAATCGTCAATCGCCAATCGCTAGTGTGATTTGGCCTTTAGGCGACAGTTTCCCGAAAAATGGAGAGGATAATGTTGGTACCAAGGAAAATCTCTACACGATATAATTTAAAGATCTGTTCTTTGTAACTGCATACTGTTGAACTAATGCAAAAGGTTAGAATGAGAAAACATATACTTGCCTCACTTCAATTTATTGCACCAGTTCATCAGTGCAGTTACAAAGAACAGATCTTTAAATTATATCGTGTAGAGATTTTCCTTGGTACCAACATTATCCCCTTCATTTTTCGGGAAACTGTCGCCTAACCACTTACGTGTACGCAATTATTTCAAGAGATGCTCGATTGATATTTCAAGAATAGGAGCCCTGTTCTTTTTCGCTGCACTACTACACTAGAGCAATAAGTTAAAATGAGAAAACATATATGTGTCTCGTTTTAACTTATTGCACTAGTTCAGCAGTGCAGCAAAAAAGAACAAGCCTAATGGCTCTTGCACACAGGACGCGG